TTTTGGATTTAAACTTCACTTTAGAGCCAGGCATCATAGTCCTGACACTTCGAGAAGCTGAGGCAGGAGAATTGCTTGAGCCCAGGAGTTAGAGACTAGCTCAGGTAACATAGTGAGACCTCATCTTTACAAAAAATTTAAAAATTAGCCAGGTGTGGTGGCATATACCTGTGGCCTCAGCTACTCAGGAGGCTGAGGTAGGAGGATTGCTTATGCCTGGGAAGTTGAGGCTGCAGTGAACTGTGGTCACACCACTGCACTGCAGCCTGGTGACAGAACAAGACACTGTCTCAATAAATAAATAAACTGTACTTTAGACCAAATGGACCTAACAGACATTTACAGAACATTTTATCCAGTAGTTGCAGAATACACATTCTTCTTATCAGCATATGGAATGTTCTCCAGGAAAAAATCATAAGTTAGGCCACAAAACAAGTCTCAACAAATTTTAGAAAATTGAAATCATATTTATTGTCTTCTGACCACTATGGAATAAAACTAGAAATCAATAAAAAGAGAAACTTTGGAAACTGTACAAATACATGGAAATTAAACAAAATGCTCCTGAACCTTTATTGGATCAATGAAGAAATTAAGAAGGAAATTTAAAAATTTCTTGAAACCAATGAAAATGGAAACAGCATACCAAAACCTATGAGATACAGCAAAAACAGTACTAAGAGGTAAGTTTATAGCAATAGGTGCCTGTATTAAAAAAACAGATTTCAAATAAACAATGTAATGATGTATTTTAAGAAACTAGAAAAGCAAGAACAAAGCCAAAATTAGAAGAATAAAGAAATAATAAAGATCAGAGTAGAACTAAACAAAATAGAGACTAAAAAAAAAAATACAGAGGATCAGAGAAATGAAAAACTGGTGCTTTGAAAAGATAAATCAATAAATCGCTAGCTAGACTAACCAAGAAAAAACAAGACCCACATAAAATCAGACATGAAAGAGGAGACATTACAATTTATGGAACAGAAATACAGAAGATCATCAGAGACTGTCATGAACAACTATATGTGAACAAGTTGGGAAACCTTGAGGGAATGGATACATTTTTGGACACATTACAGCATACCAAGAGTGAACCAGGAAGAAATAGGAAACCTGGCCAGGCACAGTGGCTCACACCTGAAATCCTAGCATTTTGGAAGGTCAGGGTGGGAGGAAGGCTTGAGCTCAGGAGGTCAAGACCAGCCTGGGCAACAGTGAGACTCTGTCTCTATTTTAAATTTTTAAAAAAGGAAACCTGAGCAGACCAATCACAAGTAACAAGATTGAATCTGTAATTTAAAGGTCTGCCAGTAAAGAAAAGCCCAAGTCTGGATGGCTTTACTGCTGAATCCTGCCATACGTAGAAAGAAATACTAACACCAATTCTTCTCAAACTAGTTCAAAAATTTGAAGAAGGGGAAATTCTTCCTCACTCATTCTATGAAGTCAGCTTTATCCTGATACCGAAATCAGAGAGGACACAACAAAAAAAGAAAACTACAGGTCAGCATCACTGATGAACATAGACACAAAAATCCGCAACAAAATAATAAATCGAAACCAACAAAACATGAAAAAAAAAAAATACACCACGATCAAGTGAAATTTATCCTAGGGCCAGGCACAGTGGCTCACACCTATAATACCAGCAGCACTTTGGAAGGCTGAGGTGGGTAGATCGCTTGAGCCCGGGAGTTTGAGACTATCCTGGGCAACATGGTGAAACCCTGTCTCTACAAAAAAATTAAAAAATTAGCTGGGTGTGGTGGCATGCACCTGTAGTCCCACCTGCTTGGGAGGCTTAGGTAGGAGGATGGCTTGAGCCCGGGAGGTGGAGGTTACAGTAAGCCGAGATCATGCCACTGTACTTGAGCCTGGGTGGCAGAGTGAGACCCTGTCTCAAAAAAAAACTTATTTCAGGAGTACAAGGATTGTTCATTATATGCAAATCAATAAATGTGATATATCACATCAACAGAATGAAAGACAAAAACCATATGATCATCTCAGCTAACACAGAAAAGTTATTTGATAAAATTCAATGTCCCTTCATGATAAAAACTCCTGACAAATTAATCACAAAAGGACCATACCTCAAAAGACAAGGATGCCCATTTTTACCACTCCTGCTCAACATAGTACAGAAAGTTCTAGCCATAACAATCAGGCAAGGTAAAAAAATAAAAGGCACCAAATTGAGAAAAAAGAGGTCAATTTGTCCCTTTTTCACAGATAACATGATATATATATATATGGAAAAACCTGAAGACTCCAGCAAAAAAACTGTTAGAACTGATAAACAAATTTAGTAAAGTTGCAGATTTTTTAAAAAAAAACACAAAAAATCAATAGCATTTCTGTGCACCAATAACAACTAGCTGAAAAAGAAAACAAGAACACAGTCCCATTTATTATGGCTACCAAAAAGAATACTAATAAATTTAACCAAAGAAGTAAAGGCTCTATAGGAGGAAAACTAGAAATTACTGATAAAATTAACGGAAGTAAACAGTGGAAATAGACAAATGGAGATATCCCATGTTCATGGATCAGAAAAATTAATATTGTTAAAATGGCCATATTTTCTAATACAATCTAAAGATTCATAGCAATTCATAACAAAATACCTATGACATTCTTCATGGAAATAGAAAAAAAATTGTAAACTTCATGTGGAACCACAAAAGAGCCTAAATAACCAAAGCAATCCTGAGCAAAAAGAACAACTGGAGACATCACGCTACCTGAGGTCGAAATAATACTAGAAAACTTTAGTAACCAAATCAGTATGGTGTTGGTATAAAAACAGACACACACACAGGCTGAGCAAAACAATACTACAAAGCTTTAGTAACCAAATCAGCATGGTGTTGGTATAAAAACAGACACACAGGCTGAGCAAAATAATACTACAAAGCTTTAGTAACCAAATCAGCATGGTATTGGTATAAAAACAGACACACAGGCTGAGCATGATGGCTTGCTCTTCTAATCTCAACATTTTGGGAGGCTGAGATAGGAGGATCACTTGAGCCCAGAAATTTGAGTACAGCCTGGGCAAGATAGTGAAACCCCATCTCTACAAATTAGCAAATCATGGTGGCGTATGCCTGTTGTCCTAGTAGCTTGGGAGGCTGAGATGGGAGGATCATTTGAGCCTGGAAGCTCAAGACTGCAGTGAGCCATAATCATACCACTGCACTCCAGCCTGGATGACAGTGAGACCCTGTCTCAAAAAAAAAAAAAAAAAAAAAAAAAAGAAATTGTAGGGCAGATACTCTGGGACATTGGTCTGGGAAAAAATTTTATGGCTAAGACCTCAAAAGCACAGGCAACCAAAGCAAATAGACAAAAGGACTGTGTAAACTAAAAAGCTTCTGCACAGCAAAGGAAACAACAGAGTAAAGAGACAGCCTACAGAATGAGAGAAAGTATTTGCAAACTATTCATGAAATGAGACTAATATCCAAAATATATAAGGAACTCAGCAAGAAAAAAAATAGTTTCATATCTGAGTAGACATTTCTCAAAAGAAGACATACAAATGACCGGCAGATATATTTTTTAAATGCTCAACATCACTAATCATCAGGGAGATGCAAATCAAAACCACAATAAGCAATCATCTTTCCCCAGTTAGAATGGCTGTTACGGAAAAGACAGTAACAAATGCTGGTGAGGATGCAAGGAAAAGGAAACTCTTATACACTGTTGGTGGGAATGTAAATTAGTACAGCCATTATGCAAAACAGTACAGAGGTTTCTCAAAAACCTAAAACTAGAACTACCATATGATATAGCAGTCCCACTGCTGGGTATTTATCCAAAGGAAAGGAAATCAATATGTCAAAGATAGATACCTATACCCCCATGTTTATTGCAGCACTATTTATAATAGCCAAGATATGGAATCATGACTTAAGTATACATCAGTGGATGAATGGATAAAGAAAATGTGATATATATACACAATGGAATTCTGTTCTGCCTTATTTTTTATGAAAATGAAATTCTGTCATTTGCAGCCACATGGATAGAATTGAGATCATTATGTTAAATAAGCCAGGCCCAGAAAGACAAATATCACATGTTCTTACTGATGTGGGAACTAAAAAAAAGTTCACCTTTAGCCAGGAGTCATGATGCACCCCTGTAGTCCCAGCTACGTGGGAGGCTGAGGCAGGAGGATTGTTTGAGTCCAGGAGATTGATTCCAGTCTGGGCAGCATAGCAAGATGCCATCTCAAAAAAATAAAAAGTAGAATGGTAGTTACTAGAGGCTGGGAAGGGTGTATGAGAAGGGTTCCAGGAAGATTTGAAGACAGACTGGTTAATACAATTAGATGAAATAAGTTCTAGTGTTTGATAGCGTACAGGAGTGACTGTAGTTAACAACGATATATATTTCAAAATAACTAGAAGAGAAGATTTGAAATGTTCTCGACACAAATGATGAATAACGTTCGGGCTGATGGACATCCTAAGTACCTTGATTTTGTCATTACAGGTTGTATGCATGTATCAAAATACTACATGTGCCCCATAAATATGTACAAATATTATGTATCAATAAAAAGGGATCTGTAATTTATGAGTAATAAAATTTTTTAAAGATCATTTACTGGCCAGGTGCTGTGGCTCATGCCTGTAATCCCAGCACTTTGGGAGGCCGAGGCGGGTGGATCACGAGGTCGGGAGATCGAGACCATCCTGTCTGACATGGTGAAACCCTGTCTCTACTAAAAATACAAAATAAATTAGCCGGGCGTGGTGGCGGGTGCCTATAGTCCCAGCTACACAGGAGGCTGAGGCAGGAGAATGGCATGAACCTGGGAGGTGGAGCTTACAGTGAGTCAAGATTGTGCCACTGCAGTCCAGCCTGGGCGACAGAGCAAGACTCCGTCTCAAAAAAAAAAAAAAAGACATTTATCTTCTAAAAAGTAATTATATAAAAATTAAAAGTAGAATTTATTCCTTTTACTTTTCTATTCCTAGGTAATACATTGTATGCAACTGGATCCTGCAAGAATCATTTATCAAGAAATTCTCTTGCTGGTACTTTATTTCGGTGGGAACAAGATGAAATACCAAGGTTAGTTAATGTTGTAAAGGAAATGAAAATTTTACATATATCCTAGTTGTGATCAAAAATCAGTGGTTACCATGATTAAATTTTAACCTTTTATTGTGTTGGATCTTTTTAATCTATACACTTATTAAAAAAAGCAAACCTTGACATTAGTGTATTACAAGGAATAAACGATTTAAAAAACAGACCATGAAAATGTACCTAGTTATTACCTACTTAACAAAAGGAATACGAGGTAGATATTGTTATACTTTTCTGCAGCATTCATCTTCATTGTCCATTCTAATTTGATATCCTATAACTTGTAAAAAAAATTTACATTTATGATAAAATACTAATTTAAAACAAAAATCTAAATATTTTTAATAAAAACCCCTAAAATTTATAAATATTAAATATGTAATAAATTATTTTGACATGCTGTTTTTGAATAATATAATTTGTAATTTATTTGTTTCATTATTGATTAGACTTTTTTGGGGGACAGTATATTCCAAATGCTTGGATTTTTCTGTTTCAAAGCAGCTGTGTGTTTGCTTATGCAAATTTTTTACTACATTTTCTATCTACTGGTGCTAATTTTTAATTAGCTCCTGTTCTGAATGTCTGAAGCAGTTTTGAAATAAGGGCAAGTTGTAAATTTCTACTGTGAGATTATATTTTTTGATGTTATTGTTTCCCTCCTTTCTCTCGAATATGCTACTTCTGCAATATTCATCCTTGACATTTACGACATAGTTATTTCAAATTACGAAACTTTTTTATATAAGAAAACTGTTGATCATAAACATTTTTAAATCTGTTCAATTTCTGTTAAGTTGTATCAATGAAGAGGACAATTCACATTTTGTTGTTGTCAAGACAAGGTCTTGCTCTGTTGCCCAGACCAGAGTTCAGTGGCACAATCTCAGCTCACTGCAACCGCTGCCTTCTGGTCTCAAGTGATCCTCCCACCTTAGCCTCCCAAGTATCTAGGACTACAGGTGTGCAACACCATGCCTGGCTAATTTTTACAAATTTTTTGTAGAGATGAGGTCTTACGGTATTGCTCAGCCTCCCAAGTATCTGGGTCTACAGGTGTGCAACACCATGCCTGACTAATTAAAAAATTTTTTTTGTAGAGATGAGGTCTCACTGTGTTGCTCAGGCTGGCCTCCCAAGCCAAAGTTGGGATCACATTCATGAGCCACCAAGCCCAGCTGACAATCTACATTGGGAAATATTTTTTTTGAAAGAGAAAGGGATATATTATGATAGGTTGACTAATATATTCCTTCTCTATCAATGGTGAAAAGATATGTGTGTATGAGTATCTAAATATATACCTGTGAGTACATATATACATATATTATTTAAGTTGTAAAAATTCTGTGGTTTAACAAACTTAACATAAAATATTCCATCAAAATTTCCTTTAAAATAGACGATGGAAAATGGGGTTTTGCTAACATGTTTTTCTTAAAACGTTAAAAAGTGTTTCAAGGCCAGGGCACAATGGCTCACACCTGTAATCCCAGCACTTTGGGAGGCCGAGGTGGGCAGATCACTTGAGGTCAGGAGTTCAAGAACAGCCTGGCCAACATGATGAAACCCCTTCTCTACTAAAAATACAAAACTTAACTGTGCATGATGGCACATGCTTGTAATCCCAGTTACTTGGGAGGCTGAGGCAGGAGAATCTCTTGACCCGGGAGGTGGAGGTTGAGGTGAGCTGAGATCACACCACTGCACTCCAGCCTGGGCAACGGAGTGAGACTCCATCTCAAAAAAAAAAAACAAAAACAAAGTGTTTGAAATAAAAAGTTAATGAAATTTGTCATCACCCACTTTGTAGTAAAATTATGGATCTCCCCTTTTCCACTTGGTGTCTGTTTTTGTACAAGTCCTAAATTTTGGAATGAGTAAACTAGGAGCCACACTGGATGTTATCTCTTCATTCTGTTAAGTAGGATCAATTATGTGATATCTTCCTTATCTTCTCTTTTGGGGCACTGATGAAAAGCAAATGCTTTTGAGTCAAAGATCCTGAATGGGAAACAATCCTTTGTAGTTCTTATAAAAATTAATGACCTTGTGGTATCATTACTTTTCCTAGCTATGAGCCCACTGTTGATCATTCATGTAGTTTATCAATTCTGTTGTTATGAAGAATTTTAAAGTATTCCCCATCTCAGCAGTAGTTGAGGGCAGGAAGAATGGTGAATTATAATTTGCCCATTTCTCAGTGTGCTCACCTTCCCTTATCTCTTATTGCACGTTCTCCCTTGTTTTTTGAATACTGAAAAAGATGTCTCTAGGCAACTGATTTCATATGTGCATGGTTTTTTATGCATTCCTCTGTGATTTTTATATTATCCTATCCCATTCTGCCCCGGGTATGACCGTATGCTAAAACGTTTTATATTCCTTTTTATATAAAATCTAATGAACCAAAATATATAGAATATACTTCAATAGGATCTTAATAGGGTTGTCAGTATATGTTTTGTATTTTTCTCATCCTATTTTTCTTTATATATACACAAAGTATCAATTTTGTCATGAATAATTGTGTATTAATCAGGTTTTCTGGGTACCAGCTAAACATAAGATAATTGTATAAGTAAGAAAAATCTTAGAAAATTTGCTCTCATATAATTATTGTTTTTTATATCCTTTAATTGCAGCTCTTTAATATTGGAAGGTGTTGAACCACAGAGTACATGTGAATTAGAAGTGGATGCTGTAGCTGCTGATATCTTAAATCGTCTGGACATTGAAGGTTCATACACAATTATTCTTAATACATGTTTTTATTTTTTTTAATGAATGACCGGCCAGGTGTGGTGGCTCACATCTGTAATTCCAGCACTTTGGGAGGCCAAGGTGGGTGGATCATGAGGTCAGATCGAGACCATCCTGGCCAACATGATGAAACCCCATCTCTACTAAAATATAGAATAAATTAACTGAGCGTGGTGGCGGACGCCTGTAGTCCCAGCTACTCTTGAGACTGTGGCAGGGGAATTGCTTGAGCCCGGGCGGCGGAGGTTGCAGTGAGCCAAGATCGCACTACTCAGCTGTGGTGACAGATCAAAAGCGTCTGTCTCAAAAAAAAAAAAAAATTAATGACCAAAGTTTTTTTTTTTTTTTTTTAAAGAAAACTTTACGAAGAAACTAAGATATTATAGAAGGATTTTTTTTTTTTTTTTTTAGATTGCTTCTATACTTCTACTGAGATAGTAATTAATTTTTTGTTTATATTTTTGTCCAAATGGCTATATTTGAATAGATACACTAAAATAAGTGTAATTTTTTTTTTTTTTTTTTAATATAAAGTAATTTAATGTACTCTGCCTTTTAATTTCTTTTTTTTTTTTTTTTTTTTCAGCAAGGGTATTCTTAGGTCTATTGACTGTCATCAGATGTTTGAACTGTATTCACTTGCTGGATTTTGGGGAACCACTAGGAAGAAAGCTTAAAAAGTTTTTTTTTTTTTTTTTTAGGTTGGGATAATTTGTCCACTTTATTACACAAAATATATTTTTTTTTTTTTTTTTTTCAGTATTTATTAAAGAAAAGTTTAGATTTTTTTAGGCGTTTTTTTTTTTTTTTTTTTTAATATTGAAATATTATTGTGATTACAGCTCAAATTGGTGGTTTTTTTTTTTTTTTTTTTATATGGGAAGATGAAAAGCAACGGCGAAGAAACAGAAATTTTTTTTTTTTTTTTTTTCTACCTGAGTCACAAGGTATAAACCTAATAATGCTTTGATTTTTTTTTTTTTTTTTTTATTTTAATGGGAAAGTTTGTCCTTGAGTTGTTCCTTTGACATTAGATTTTACTTTTCAAATGACCTTTTGTTTTGTATTTTTCTTGTTGTCATTGCTGTTTTTTTTTTTTTTTTTTTTATAACTATCTCCAAATTGTCACTTATTATCTCTCTCTCTTTTTTTTTTTTTTTTTTTTACTATTCTTTGTTTTTAGTGTACCTTGTCCTCTTGCCTCACTTTTTTGTTTTCATTCTCTAGTGTGTTCTAGCCCTCTGTATTTCCAAATGAGCTATTTTTTTTTTTTTTTTTTTCATGAATTTCAACTTAGGAACACTGTTTAATACATTAAGTTTTTTTTTTTTTTTTTTTGAAATGCTGCCCACAGTTTAGTTTCTGAGTATGTCATATTTTTTTTTTTTTTTTTTTTTATGTACAGCTCTAAAGAAATACTCATTACTAAATGGTGCCACATTCAAAAAGAATTTGAGGGGGTTCAGATAATACTATGGATACAACAGAATTTTAAAAATAAAGGTAAAAGAATGAAAGACATCATTCAAAAGACAGATATATTATTTCAAATTTTTTTTTTTTTTTTTTAGCGAAGTTCAATTAAAATTGTTACATCTTAGGCACTAAAATGTTTTGATAAACTTTGAGTGCCTTTTATTTTAAAAATAGAAATATATTTTATAAGGTTTTTTTTTTTTTTTTTTGGATACAATGTATTTATAGGTAGAGAACAGTTTTTCTGTTTTTTTTTTTTTTTTTTTTTATAGAACTTAATCTTGAACTGAGTTTAAATGCCTAATTTTTTTTTTTTTTTTTTTTTCATTTCTCTTTTGTGTGATTCTATAGTAAGACTACAGTTATTTTTTTTTTTTTTTTTTTAGAGAAAGGTAAGAAATTGCTACCATTTTTAAAGCTACTTTAGGAGAAAGGAAAATATTTCATTCATTTGCTATCTACATTTTTTAATGCACTTTTATTTTTTTTTTTTTTTTTTTTTGTGCCAGCAACAGAAAGTGAAAAAAAATTTCAGAAGATTTTTTTTTTTTTTTTTTAACAGAATGATTTCTCTGTGTAAGTGGTTATTTATTATAGTTTTTTTTTTTTTTTTTTTTCCTTTGTTATCTAGTCTGTTATAAAGGATATGTTTTAATTTTTTTTTTTTTTTTTTGGATCTGTGGACTACAGTGATGGATCCCAGGAGTTCTCTGTTTTTTTTTTTTTTTTTTCTGAGGTTCTGTCTCCTGAAATGCTTCAGTGTACACCAGCTTTTTTTTTTTTTTTTTTCAAAGACAAAGAATCAAGCAAAGGTAAGATTTGCTTTTCATGTATAAAGAAACTACTAGAACATATATCTAGCACTGAAATGTTAATATTTGATTGAGTTTTTTTTTTTTTTTTTTCCCTACGAAATAAATATTGTGGATATAGCAAAAATGTCTCTTTTTTTTTTTTTTTTTTTGCATCTCTAAAGGTAAGGAGTATCCTGAAGTTAGTGCAATTTTTTTTTTTTTTTTTTTTTTATATTTTCTTATAATGTTTGCCCACCATATATACCATTGTTTTAAGTTTTTAATTTTACATAAATGATGTTCTACTTGGCGTAGATGAAGCAACTTTTTTTTTTTTTTTTTTATTATATTTTTAAGCAACTTGAGGTTTAATTTACATAGCATTTTTTTTTTTTTTTTTTAGTGTATAATTCAGTGATTTATAGTAAATTTACAAAGTTGTGCAAACATCTCCACAATCCAATTTTAGAATGTTTCCATCAGTCCACAGGATCCCTTGTTTTTTTTTTTTTTTTTTCCTGTTTCTACCTCAAACCCCAAGTAACCACTAATAATACTTTTTTTTTTTTTTTTTTCTGTGTATTATGTAAGTGAAACCATACAATATATAGTATTTTTTTTTTTTTTTTTTTTACTTAGTATAATACTTTCAAGGTTTATACATGTTGTAGTATCTATCAGTATGTATGGAGATACCACATTTTGTTAATCCATTTATCAGTTGATCAACATTTTTTTTTTTTTTTTTTTTGATTGGTAAGAATAATGCCGCTGGCCAGGTGCAGTGATTTTTTTTTTTTTTTTTTTCAATTTGAGAGACTGAGGTGGGCGGATCACCTGAGGTCAGGAGTTGGCAACCAGCCTGGCCAACATGGTGAAACTCTGTCTCTACTAAAAATACAAAATTTTTTTTTTTTTTTTTTCGCACACCTGTAATCCCAGCTACTCAGGAGGCCAAAGCAGTTTTTTTTTTTTTTTTTTGGAGGTGGAGGTTGCAGTGAGCCAAGATCATGCCACTGCATTTTTTTTTTTTTTTTTTAGCAAAACTCCATCTCAAAAACAAAAAACAAACAAAAAAATTTTTTTTTTTTTTTTTTTAAGCAGTAAAGCATAAATTTTAGGATAAATATCATAAAATTTTTTTTTTTTTTTTTTAAATAGTAACAAACGAAACAGTTTAAGAATAAACTTCACTTTTTTTTTTTTTTTTTTTAAGCAAAAGAATTGCTAGGGCATGTGGTATATTTGTGTTTTTTTTTTTTTTTTTTTTTCAAGCTGTTTTTAAAGTGACAGCAATGTTTTACTTTCCCATTTTTTTTTTTTTTTTTTTTCTCAGGCTCTCCATCCTCACTAACACTTGTTATTATCTTTTTTTTTTTTTTTTTTTATTCTAGTGTATGAAATAGGATCTTACTGTGGTTTTAATTTTCATTACCCTCATTACTACTAATGTTGAGCATCTTTTATGTCAACATTATAACTTTGTTTTTTTTTTTTTTTTTTTCATTTTAGCTGCTGATGACTCTTCCATTTTAAGACTAAATTTTTTTTTTTTTTTTTTCTCAACAAGTATTAGATGGTCTTTACTTTTGCATTTAGTGTTTTTTTTTTTTTTTTTTGGCTGTATGCAGGAGTTTCTCTACCAAACACATGCAGAAGAGTGAGTTGCTGAATATTCGGGTGTATGCATTGTACTCTACCTAGATAGCATCTGTTCTTTTTTTTTTTTTTTTTTGCAATTAGCTTATACATGGTTAGTAAACAAGACAATAATAAAAGTTTTACTCAGAAGTCACATTGTATCGTACGCAATTTTACTAGGCAAGCGAAACCTCAACATTTGATAGCATCAAATAATAAGTATAAAATAATAGATGTAAAAGATTTGCCGCTCTGATTCTTTGAAATAGTGTCTCTGCATTTTAATCTGCATTTCTACTAACGAATTTGAGCATCTTTAAAGGCCATTTGGGTTTCTCTGTGAATTATGTTATTTGCTCATTTTCTATTGGGTCATTTCTTTTTCTTATTTGTAGGAGTTCTTCATATTTTCTAGATATTAAGTCTTTGTCAGTTATACTTATTGTAGAGATATTTTCTCTCCATCTAGGCTTGTCTTGTAATTTTTTTTTTTTTTTTTTGTTAACTTCTTTTCCCCCCATTTGGGAAAAAAAAAAAGGTTTTTTTTTTTTTTTTTTTTGTCTTCAGTTTTAATGTCAAGTTTACAATATTCCTTTATTTTTTTTTTTTTTTTTTTGATTTATGAGACCTTCCCTACCCTGATGTAATGAAAATTTTTTTTTTTTTTTTTTTTTTAAGGCTTATGTGTGCTTACAATTTGGTTTTTCATATTTAGGTCTTTAATGCATTTGAAATTTTACTTTTTACTTTTAATTTTTTGCTAATTTTTTTGTTTTTTTTTTTTTTTTTTATATTTATGGGGTACATGAGAGATTTTTATACAGGCATACTTTTTTTTTTTTTTTTTTTAAATGGGGTATCCATAACCTCAAGCATTTATTTCTTTGTTTTTTTTTTTTTTTTTTTATACTTTTAGTTATTTTTAAATGTACAATAGATTATTGTTTTTTTTTTTTTTTTTTTTCTGCTATCAAATACTAGATCTTATTCCTTCGATTTTTTTGTTTTTTTTTTTTTTTTTTCTTCCCCACCCCCCACCCTACTACCCTTCCTAGCTTCTGGTTTTTTTTTTTTTTTTTTCCATCTCCATGAGTTCCATTGTTTTAATTATTAATTAGCCTTTTTTTTTTTTTTTTTTCATGCAAAGTTTGTCTTTCTGTGCCTGGCATATTTCACATTTTTTTTTTTTTTTTTTTTCCATCCATGTTGTTGCAGATGACATGATCTCACTCTTTTTTTTTTTTTTTTTTTTTTCATTGTGTAAATGTACCACATTTTCTTTATCCATTCATCTGTTGATGGACACTTAGATTGCTTCCAAATCTTGGCTGTTGTGAATAGGACGGTGATAATTTTTTTTTTTTTTTTTTCTCTTCAACTCGACATATCAATTTCATTTCCTTTGGATAATTTTTTTTTTTTTTTTTTGCTGGATTATATGGTAGTTCTATCTTTAGTTTATTAAGGATTTTTTTTTTTTTTTTTTATAGTGGCTGTACTAATTTACATTTCTACCAACAGTGTACTTTTTTTTTTTTTTTTTTACATCATTGCCAGCATTCATTATTACCTGTCTTTTGGATATTTTTTTTTTTTTTTTTTGTGAGATGATTTCTCATTGTAATTTTGATTTGCATTTCTCTGATGATCGGTGATGTTGAGCACCTTTTCACCTGTTTGCCATTCGTATATCTTCTTTTTTTTTTTTTTTTTTTTTTTCTTTTGCCCATTTTTTAATTGGATTATTAGATTTTTTACTTTTTTTTTTTTTTTTTTTTGGTTATTAATTCCTTGTCAGATGGATAGTTTGCAGATATTTTTTTTTTTTTTTTTTGTTGTCTCTTCACTTTGTTGATTGTTTCCTTTGCTGTGCATTTTTTTTTTTTTTTTTTTTGATATGATCCCATTTGTCTACTTTTGCTTTGATTGCCTTTTTTTTTTTTTTTTTTTCCAAAAAATCTTTGCTCAGGCGAATATTCTAGAGAGTTTCTTTTTTTTTTTTTTTTTTTAGTTTCATAGTTTGAGTCTTAGATTTAAGTCTTTAATTCTTTTTTTTTTTTTTTTTTTATATGGCGAGAGATCAGGGTCTAGTTTCATTCTTCTGCATGTGGATATCCAGCGTTTTCTCAGCACCATTTATTTGAAGAAATTGTTCTTTCCCCCATTTTTTTTTTTTTTTTTTTTCATCAAAAAAGAGTTCACTGTAGTTATGGATTTATTTCTTTTTTTTTTTTTTTTTTGGTCTGTGTGCCTGTTTTTATGCCAGTATCATGCTGTTTTTTTTTTTTTTTTTTTTTTGTATAACTTGAAGTCAGGTAATGTGACCTCCAGTTTTATTTTTTTTTTTTTTTTTTTTTTTGGTTATTCGGGGTCTTTTGTGGTTCCATGTAAATTTTTTTTTTTTTTTTTTTTTTTCTGTGAAGAATAACATTGGTATTTTGATAGGGATTGCTTTTTTTTTTTTTTTTTTTTCGGGTAGGTATGGACATTTTATCAGTATTGATTATTCCAATTTTTTTTTTTTTTTTTTCTTTTTCATTTTTTGGTGTCGTCTTCAATTTCTTGCATCATTTTTTTTTTTTTTTTTTTGTAGGGATGTTTCACTTCTTTGGTTAAGTTTATTCCTAGTTTTTTTTTTTTTTTTTTTTGTAAATGGGATTACTTTCGTGATTTCTTGTTCAGATTGTTCACTGTTGGCATATAGAAATGCTACTGATTTTCATATGTTGATTTTCTATCCTGCATTTTTTTTTTTTTTTTTTTTTAGTGGAGTCTGTAGGTTTTTCCAAATATAAGATCATATAAGGATAATTTGACTTCTTCCTTTCCAATTTGGATGCAGTTTATTTATTCCTTTCTTTTTTTTTTTTTTTTTTTTTAGGACTTCCAGTACTGTGTTGAATAACAGTGGTGAAACTTTTTTTTTTTTTTTTTTTCCAGATCTTAGAGAACGGGCTTTCAATTGTTCCCAGTGCTGTGAATGCACTGGGTCACACCTGAAGTCAGCATGTCCCTGGATCTCACCCGAGGCCTGTTTTTTTTTTTTTTTTTTTGTCACTTGTGTTTACTCAAGGCCAAAGGGCTCTTTAGTGTTTTTTTTTTTTTTTTTTCCGGGTCTGAGTCCTTCCTTTCAAGGCAGCAGGTTCCCTTTTTTTTTTTTTTTTTTTTAGAGTTGTCATCCAGGAGTTAGGGCCTGGAATATGTGTGTTTTTTTTTTTTTTTTTTTACTGTGGCTGAGCTGGTATCCAAGTTGCAAGATAAAGTTCTTTTTTTTTTTTTTTTTTGTGTCCTCTCGTGGTAGGAAAGAGTCTTCTGGAGCTGTGATTTTTTTTTTTTTTTTTTGTGCGGGGTGGGGAAGAGGGGTCACAAGTAATTCCTTGGCTTTTTTTTTTTTTTTTTTACTAGGTGTGTGTACCCCAAGTCTACTGGCTCCGAGCCCATTTTTTTTTTTTTTTTTTCCCAAGAATTGCAGTCCTTGTGGGTAAGACTGCCTTTCAATTTTTTTTTTTTTTTTTTAGTGCTTTAGCCCATAGTAGTAATGCTGGCTGCACCTCAGGTTCTGGACTGCTGTATTGGGCAGTTTGCCTCTGACTGGGGCTGGTCGAATCCTCTCCTTTTTTTTTTTTTTTTTTTTCTGTTCCATGTTGCTTTCCACTGTGACAGGGTAGCACTTTTTTTTTTTTTTTTTTTCCACATTCACTGTGTTCTGTCTCTCCCAAGCACACAGATTTTTTTTTTTTTTTTTTTTGACCATTGCCTGAGGGGTGGGAGGTGCTATCAGCAATTCATTTTTTTTTTTTTTTTTTTCTTCACTGTCTCTTTCCTTGATATGTTGTTAAAACCAAGTTTTTTTTTTTTTTTTTTGATTTTTTATTCTAATGAAGGTGCTTGCTTGTGTGGATAGTTTTTTTTTTTTTTTTTTCAGGGGACGGCAATTGCTGGAGGGTTCTATGTGGCCATATTTTTTTTTTTTTTTTTTTATCATGAAAATACAACGAATGTGATATATAATGAAAGCTTTCTGAGAAATATATAATGTAAAATGAATTTTTTAATTGCTTAACCATTTCTTTGTGTTTTTTTTTTTTTTTTTTTTTATTTCTGCCCAGTTATGACAATGAAATGGGAAACCACAATTTTTTTTTTTTTTTTTTCATGAAAAACCAGCACACACCCCATTAGGAATTACACTAATTTTTTTTTTTTTTTTTTATTCAGAAGAGAGTCCAGTACACATGTGTCAAATAATGAGTTTTTTTTTTTTTTTTTTTTAGAAGAGTTGAAAAACATTTATTCTAAATTTGTTGTTTTTTTTTTTTTTTTTTTTTAGAATTTTAGTATTCAAATAAGATAGTTTATCTTTCCTTTTTTTTTTTTTTTTTTTTTTATGCAGTGATTTTTATCAGACTAATAGAACTACACACATTTTTTTTTTTTTTTTTTTTTATAAATATTTGGTGATTTATAGATTCAGTGTTTGATTTTTTTTTTTTTTTTTTTTTGTTAAATATTTCTGTGGCTTTTTATTATGTTTTTATTTGGTTTTTTTTTTTTTTTTTTTGAAATTTAAAATAGGTTTATATGGTAATGCTTCCAAATTTTTTTTTTTTTTTTTTTTTAAATTTTGGATTTAGGCCATTGCTTTAATTTTTTAATTCTTTTTTTTTTTTTTTTTTCACTAGACACAAAGTGGAAGAAGCTCTTATTAATGAAGAAGCAATTTTGAACCTCATGGAAAATAGTCAGACTTTTCAGCCTTTGACCCAAAGACTGATTTTTTTTTTTTTTTTTTGTAAGTAACAGTGCTACCATAAATATTCAGCATTGTAATTTTTTTTTTTTTTTTTTTTTGAAGAGGTTTTTTTTTTATTGACTTGAAGAGGTAAATGTTTTTTTTTTTTTTTTTTTTCTACTGAATATGAAAATGAAACCTTGCATTAAATCAAGTTTTTTTTTTTTTTTTTTTATACAGCTTAAAAAACTTTGTGAAAGAAAATAGTTTTTTTTTTTTTTTTTTTTTTTTTGGGAAAACCGTATTAGTTTAGAAGGAGAATGCATTTATTTTTTTTTTTTTTTTTTTTTAGTTCAGTACATTACTGAAACACCATAAGTGGTTCTTTCTTTTTTTTTTTTTTTTTTTTCACTGGAGGAAACATGGGTTGCTAGGGCTGCGGTCCCAGCCTCCTCATCTCGCTGGCCAGGGCTGCGCTCAACCAGTCCTTCAGCAGCCTCCCCTTGTTTTTTTTTTTTTTTTTTTTGCAGCCACTGCCAGCCTTCGCTGGCAAAGCCTTCCAACTTTTTTTTTTTTTTTTTTAGCTGTCCCCATGGCCAAAACCCTGTGCAGTCCCAGGCAGTTTTTTTTTTTTTTTTTTACAATGTTATTTTAATGATGTCCCTAAATTACTCTAATGCTTTTTTTTTTTTTTTTTTCTTTGATAGGAGAGCTACCTCAACACCTGAGCCTTTGTACTTTTTTTTTTTTTTTTTTCTGTGCCAGTATCTGTGATGTTGTTATTTTATTCTAAGTGTTTTTTTTTTTTTTTTTTTTAAGAAAACAGGCCGGGTGTGGTGGCTCACGCCTGTAATCCCAGCACTTTGGGAGGCCGAGGCAGGCGGATCACGAGGTCAGGAGATCGAGACCATCCTGGGTAACACAGTGAAACCCCATCTCTACTAAAAGTACAAAAAATTAGCTGGCCTTGGTGGCGGGTGCCTGTAGTCCCACCTACTTGGGAGGCTGAGGCAGGAGAATGGTGTGAACCCGGGAGGCGGAGCTTGCAGTGAGCCGAGATCCGCCACTGCACTCCAACTCCAGCCCTTTTTTTTTTTTTTTTTTCCGTGTCAAAAAAAAAGAAAACTTGAGTTATTTGTTGGTGTTTTTTTTTTTTTTTTTTTAGTGGACAGTAGTCCTGATGAGGCTCTGGTACATCTTCTTTTTTTTTTTTTTTTTTTTGGATATCGGGGGGAAAGAAATAGGATGCCATCACCGTGTTTTTTTTTTTTTTTTTTTAAATATCCCCAAAATAGTGATGATGAAGAAAATGAACCACTTTTTTTTTTTTTTTTTTTGGAGCTTAGTTTGGTGATGTCCCAGAGATGGGACAGCAATTTTTTTTTTTTTTTTTTCAAAAAGAGGTAATTTTTTAGTTATTTCATTTGTTTTATTTTTTTTTTTTTTTTTTTTCCTTCAATCAGAAATTACTTGTTACTATTGTTCAGTGTATTTTTTTTTTTTTTTTTTTAATTGGTGTTTTAAAATTCCCTTTTAGTGATCTGGTTTTCTTTTTTTTTTTTTTTTTTATTCCAAGCAAAATAAAGTTCTGCTACATTTTAAGAGATTTTTTTTTTTTTTTTTTTTTATCCATTTATATACACATTATTAACATATGTAAGTGATATTTTTTTTTTTTTTTTTTTGCCTTCTTATCTTAGAACTAGACAAAAAGAATGCCCTGTTTTTTTTTTTTTTTTTTTGAGTATCAGAGCAACAATATATAGAGTCAGACTGAAGATAGGGTATGGCTTTGGGGTCTGATTAGACTAAGGGAACTAAGGTTAAAAACAAATAAATATTTTTTTTTTTTTTTTTTACTGGTGTTGTGGTTTGTTTCTCAAAATCAGTGAATAAGTTTTTTTTTTTTTTTTTTTAATCAGTCTCTGTGAACTTGATTGGTTTGAGTCTGCCCTTTAGTTATATGCTCTGTGTATCGAAAAATCTAGGCCTGTGAGCCTGAAAGACTGAGTATTTTTTTTTTTTTTTTTTTTGTAGGCTAGATTAGAACTTTTTTAGTCTGTGTTTGAAATTTTTTTTTTTTTTTTTTTCACTGAAAGGTGAAAGAAGTTAATCCATAAATTCAGTGTTTTTTTTTTTTTTTTTTTTGTTTTGATTTTTCTGTTTAATAAATCAGATATAGAAATCTTTTTTTTTTTTTTTTTTTTCTTTCCTCTAACATTGTCACTGCTCTAATAATAGGCATTTTTTTTTTTTTTTTTTTTTTTATGCTTATATGTTCATTGGCTGAACCAATTTAGTGAATTTTTTTTTTTTTTTTTTCTTGGGAAAACAAACCTAAACATTTTGTACACGTTATTAGTTTTTTTTTTTTTTTTTTAAGCATAGTGTCCAGAAAATGATTTAGTTAATTCTACTCTTTATATTGGATATTATATTCTGTGCTGATCACCATATTTTAAGAATACTGAAAAAGGATTTTTTTTTTTTTTTTTTAAAACTAGAAGGATCTGTAAGCATTGTCACTTTTGAAGAACTTTTGAATGGAGACTGTTTGATCTAATTAGAATTACAAGATGAATGAGAAATGCCTTTTTTTTTTTTTTTTTTTTTCGTGTGGAAAATGGCATCAACCTGCTGTGTATAGCTACAGAGAACAAAATAGGAATCATGTATGGAAGTTGAAAGAGTTTGTGTATTACAAGAAGACTTTTTTTTTTTTTTTTTTCTATTAACAATGGAAAGATTGCCCTGTGAGACAGCAAGCCTTTTTTTTTTTTTTTTTTAAAACAGAGATTGCCTCAGGTTCATTAAAAAATCAGGTTTTTTTTTTTTTTTTTTTTTTGGACTAGACCTCTGATACCTCTTTCAGCTCTTAAGGGAGTTTTTTTTTTTTTTTTTTGTGATTTGCAAAGGCTTAGTGGAAAAAGAGTTCCAGTATATTTTTTTTTTTTTTTTTTAATTTCAAATAGTTGAGATTAGTGAAATAAAAAATTGGATTTTTTTTTTTTTTTTTTTTGCCCATTCAATTAAAAGGGAAAGCATCAAGTTAATATCATTTTTTTTTTTTTTTTTTAGAAACTAGACTTCACTGTCCCTCTGAATTTCTCAGTAACTTTTTTTTTTTTTTTTTTTCAGATTGACTGAACACCTTTACTACTTCCTATTTATTCTCTCTTCTTCAATATTTTCTCTTCAGCCCTGACCTCAGTGCCCCTTCACTCATCTCTTTTTTTTTTTTTTTTTTTTTTCAGAATGCAGGAATTGTGGTGTATTTCAGCTCACATGAAAGAGATTATAAAGTGTAATTATAATAATTCTTTGTAAGTTGCTATAGTGAGACATGTTTTTTTTTTTTTTTTTTTTTGCTTTTCTAGAAGTTACAATTTTCAGGGGTTTTTTATTGTTTTTTTTTTTTTTTTTTTAGATACATTATTATAGTTAACTTACATTATTATAGAGTTTTTTTTTTTTTTTTTTTTGCATCTGAGATGGTCTTTTCTAATGATCATGCTCACTAGTGAATTTTAATATTCTCCAGATCACTGTGCAGAAATACCCACAGAAGTTCAACTGAAGATTTTTTTTTTTTTTTTTTAGAAGAAATGGAATGGAGTGATAACAGTTTGCTTCTAGCCAATCTTTCTATACCTCAGTTAGATGGAACTGCAGATGAAAATAGTGGTAAGTAAACAATTTTTTTTTTTTTTTTTTGTTAGTTAGGATCTAAAAATATATTTGATTTTGAGGTCAGTTTTTTTTTTTTTTTTTTGGAATCCCAGCATTCTGGGAGTCCAAGGTGAGAGGATCACTTTTTTTTTTTTTTTTTTGACCAGCCTAGGCACCATAGTGGGACCCTGTCTCTAAAAATTTTTTTTTTTTTTTTTTCCCAGCATAATGGTGCATGCCTGTAGCCCCAGCTACTCAGTTTTTTTTTTTTTTTTTTTTACTTGAGCCCAAGAGTTTGAGGCTGCAGTGAGCTGTGATTTTTTTTTTTTTTTTTTGCCTAGGCAACAGAGCAAGACCCTGCCTCCAAATAAATAATTTTTTTTTTTTTTTTTTGAAACTTTAATCATACTTTCTATTGATTTTGAAACTGTAATTTTTTTTTTTTTTTTTTTGGCTAAGTGAGGCTATAGTGATGTTTCGTCCCTCAGGATTTTTTTTTTTTTTTTTTTTGTAGATACATGGTTTGTTTCTCATTTCTAAAAGGATATATTTTTTTTTTTTTTTTTTTTTCAAGCTTTGAAAACTTTAATGTTTGTTGTGTAAGTAGTTTTTTTTTTTTTTTTTTACGCTCAGTTTATTTGAAGTGATAATGTAAAGCATATTACTTTTTTTTTTTTTTTTTTGTGGCAGTATTTTTCCCTTATTCCCCAAAGGCACTAAATAGTAATATAATCTATTTCTGATCAATTGAATATGTGTTTAAAATGATGACTCATAATCGTTTTTTTTTTTTTTTTTTGTCATTAATGATAAACATTACCTTTTTGTTAAGATAGCCGTTTTTTTTTTTTTTTTTTAATTTTATGTAATTTTTTCATAGTGATAGCATTAATATCTTTTTTTTTTTTTTTTTTTTAAAAATTAAGAGTAAAATGAAATAAACTGTTTTTCCCTCTTTTTTTTTTTTTTTTTTTTGAACAACGAAAACTCTAGAACCCACTCTTCTGTAATTGCAACAAGCAAGCTATCAGTTAAACCCTCCATCTTTCACAAAGATGCTGCTACGTTAGATTTTTTTTTTTTTTTTTTGATTACCTTTCAGTGTAAACACACAAGTGCCCTTTCTTCCTTTTTTTTTTTTTTTTTTGATTTAATTGAAGACCTTTCACAGACAAATAAAAATATAGTTTTTTTTTTTTTTTTTTCAGTCACTTCTTTTACAAACGAAAGCACTTACTCTATGAATTTTTTTTTTTTTTTTTTCAGTACTGTTCATTCAGAAAATTCTCATAAAGAGAATAGTAAGAAAGAGATCCTCCCAGTGTCTTCCTGTGAAAGTAGTATTTTTGATTATGAAGAAGTTTTTTTTTTTTTTTTTTGACAAGTACCAAGTAGAAAATATACAAACATTAGAAAAATTTTTTTTTTTTTTTTTTTTATACATATGCACCGTCACCCTAACGAGAATACATTGGGCTTTTTTTTTTTTTTTTTTTCTGACTTGAATCATTCAAAAAATAAAGTGTCCTCTGAAGTTTTTTTTTTTTTTTTTTGCACAGCTCTGAGTAGTTTATTCCCTTCGTCATTTACTGATTTTTTTTTTTTTTTTTTATGCTCAGGGGAGAATAGAACTATGGTGCATTCTCTTAATAGCACTGCTGATGAAAGTGGACTAAATAAACTTAAAATTAGGTATGAAGAATTTCAAGTTTTTTTTTTTTTTTTTTCAAGCCTCAGCCAGCAAGCAGCACACTATATGTTTTTTCCTTTTTTTTTTTTTTTTTTCTGTCTTACTAGACCACAGAAACTATCTCCTGTCACATATTTTTTTTTTTTTTTTTTTAAACCATCCCGGTTAAAATTGAATAAAAAGAAACTTGCAGTTTTTTTTTTTTTTTTTTCCAAAAGTAGTGAGACTGGATCCACGAAAGATAATAGTATTTTTTTTTTTTTTTTTTTTAGTAATCCTGAGAAGGATAGTGCATTCGCCAGTGATTTATTTTTTTTTTTTTTTTTTGCTTTTGAAAATAAAACACCCACAGATGGTTTTATAGACTGTCACTTTGGAGATGGAACGTTAGAAACTGAGCAGTCCTTTGGACTATATGGAAATAATTTTTTTTTTTTTTTTTTACGCAAGGTAAATTATGAGACTGAAGATAGTGAGTCGAATTTTTTTTTTTTTTTTTTTAAAATTAGTCTACCTCATCCCATGGAAATTGGTGAAAGTTTTTTTTTTTTTTTTTTTTCTCGAAAACGAAGAAAAATGTCTAAAAAGCTGCCCCCTGTTTTTTTTTTTTTTTTTTTTATTAATAGATTTAGAGGGAGAAAAAATATGCTTGTGAAGCTAGGAAAAATAGACGCTAAAGAAAAACAAGTAATATTAACAGAAGAAAAAATGGAACTTTTTTTTTTTTTTTTTTCTTTGAAGGACTTTTGGCCAAAAGTTCCCGACTCCCCTGCTTTTTTTTTTTTTTTTTTTCCACTAACACCAAAGAAAAGTCACAGAAGAAAGTCAAAATTTTTTTTTTTTTTTTTTAAAACTGGTAAGCAACAAAGGACAAATAATGAAAATATCATTTTTTTTTTTTTTTTTTGGAAAAAACGGTCACATGCTATTCTTTCTCCTCCCTCACCTTTTTTTTTTTTTTTTTTCGAAGATTGTGACTTGAATTATAGTGATGTTATGTCTAAATTTTTTTTTTTTTTTTTTAGAAGCACAAGTCCCATAAATTCTTCTCCACCTCGCTGCTGGTCTCCCACAGATCCAAGAGCTGAAGAAATCATGGCTGCCGCAGAAAAAGAGGCAGTTTTTTTTTTTTTTTTTTTTGTGTATAACAAGACTGTTAATTCTCGTATAGGAAAAAATTTTTTTTTTTTTTTTTTTGTTAAGAAATCAAAAGCAAAGCTCGTTAATCCCTCTGTAGTTTTTTTTTTTTTTTTTTAACGAAATCAGACAAATAAACTAGTAGATGATGGAAAAAATTTTTTTTTTTTTTTTTTAAAAACAAATGCGAAAGGTACATCGAGAAAGCATATAACATTTTTTTTTTTTTTTTTTAAATCTCAGTCTGGTGCTGAAGTTAAGTTTGTACTGAAACACCAGAATGTGTCTGAATTTGCAAGTAGTTCTGGAGGCGCTCAATTACTTTTTAAACATTTTTTTTTTTTTTTTTTGGGCTCTGCTGTAGATCATCCCCTTTCTGCTCCCCTACCCTTTTTTTTTTTTTTTTTTCAGAAGTTATCTGGCTGCTTTTCTTCTTTCTTAGAAAGCATTTTTTTTTTTTTTTTTTAGACATTCCCCAGTTCACGAGATGATTTGCATCCATCAGTTTTTTTTTTTTTTTTTTTACCTGGAATCTCAAAAATTAATGTTCAAAGACCTCATAATTTTTTTTTTTTTTTTTTTCTAAAGGAATCAACCTTAATTCAGAAAAATGTATTTGACCTTTCCAACCATTTGTCTCAGGTAGCACAGAATACACAGATATCTTCGGGTATGTCTTCTTTTTTTTTTTTTTTTTTAAATAATATACAAAAAAACTATTTGTCATCAATCGGAAAATTTTTTTTTTTTTTTTTTTCCCTAGAATCAAAGCTGGACCAAGCATATACCCCTAATTTTTTTTTTTTTTTTTTTTGTCAGCAGCAGATTGTGTGCATAGCAGAGCAGTCAAAGCACAGTGAAACTTGTTCTCCGGGAAATACAGCTTCAGATGAAAGCCAAATGCCTAATAATTTTTTTTTTTTTTTTTTTAGAAGTCCAATCAAACAAATAGCATGGGAGCAAAAGCAAATTTTTTTTTTTTTTTTTTTGTCAAATTTTAAACCTGAAAGAGTAAAACAGAGGTCATTTTTTTTTTTTTTTTTTTTAACCAAAGCACTTTCTCAGTGTAAAAATCGAAATGTGTCAGCACCTTCAGCATTTGGTGAAGGACAGTCTGGACTGGCAGTTCTAAAAGAATTGTTACTTTTTTTTTTTTTTTTTTCACAAAATTCAAATATTATACAAGACCCATTATCTAATAATTTTTTTTTTTTTTTTTTTATTTCTGGTTCTCTTGAACATAACAAAGCAAATAAACGGTTTTTTTTTTTTTTTTTTCCAAGAAAACCTCGAACTCCCAGAAGTACAAAACCAAAAGTTTTTTTTTTTTTTTTTTTCAAAGTAGACTCTTTAAATTTACAAAACTCTAGCCAGTTTTTTTTTTTTTTTTTTTTTGATAGTCCCATCTTTTTTTCAGATCCAGGTTTTGAAAGTTGTTATTCACTTGAAGATAGTTTATCTCCTGAACATAATTATAATTTTGATATTAACATTTTTTTTTTTTTTTTTTTTTGTAGCTTTTACTCTGGAAGTCAGTTTGTCCCAGCTGATCAGAATTTGCCTCAGAAGTTCCTAAGTGATGCTGTTCAGGATCTTTTTCCAGGACAATTTTTTTTTTTTTTTTTTTTTTTAAGTCATGACAACCAGAAATGTGAAGAAGACAAGCTTTTTTTTTTTTTTTTTTCATGGATTAGATCTGGTACTTTAAGTCCTGAAATTTTTGATTTTTTTTTTTTTTTTTTCATTGAGAATCATCGCCATAACCAGTGGAAAAATAGCTTTTTTTTTTTTTTTTTTTTTTCTAATTCAATAATGGATTCTTTCTGTGTTCAGCAGGCAGTTTTTTTTTTTTTTTTTTAATCTAGATTGAATAGGAGTTCAGTAAGCAAAGAAGTGTTTTTTTTTTTTTTTTTTTTAAACAATTCAGACTGGATTCAAGGTCATACCAGAAAAGAAATGGGACGGTCTCTTGACTCAGCCAATACCTCTTTTACTGCAATACTCTCCTCCCCTGTTTTTTTTTTTTTTTTTTTGGCCTGTGAAGATTTAGAACTGTATATTTCAAGAAACAATTTTTTTTTTTTTTTTTTTCCTGATAGTTCACCAAGATCTACTAGTTCTCCTTCACAATCTAAAAATGGCAGTTTCACCCCACGAACTGCTCACATTCTGAAACCACTTATGTCCCTTTTTTTTTTTTTTTTTTTTATGGCAACTTTGTTGGATCATGACCTTTCAGAGACTATTTTTTTTTTTTTTTTTTTCAGTAATCCTTCTGATGTACCAGAAAAGCCCAGGTAATCATTTTTTTTTTTTTTTTTTGTCACTCTGAATTACTATGATATATAAAATTATGCTATAGTTTTTTTTTTTTTTTTTTTATAATGTGTATATGTAAAGAATATAACATTTGGTTACCTGATTACTAGTTTTCTGTGATACTGTATTTTTAAGTATATCATTGTGGAAAGTATTTCTTTTTTTTTTTTTTTTTTTAAAATTCAAAAATTAACTGGATGGTTACACCTGGAGAAGTTTTTTTTTTTTTTTTTTTATCTACCATTATTTAACACTATGTCTTCATTAAAAATTAGTTTTTTTTTTTTTTTTTTTGTCATGATACTTTAAAAGGATTACAATGATCATTGTTTATTTTTTTTTTTTTTTTTTAATGTTAAACTTGTATACCATTTTAAAAGAACTTCATTTTTTTTTTTTTTTTTTTTTTGCATATATGTATTTTAAGTATTCCTCTGATATATCTCTAATTTTTTTTTTTTTTTTTTTGTTTCTATTATAAACCACTTTTCATGTGGTTTCAATATCTTTTTTTTTTTTTTTTTTATAGTTTATGCAGTTATTAGCAAATGGACTTTGGTTTCCATTTTTTTTTTTTTTTTTTATTTTTTCAGGTGGCCAGGTATGGTGGTGTGCACCTGTAATCCTGGCACTTTGGGAGGCCAAGGTGGGAGGATCGCTTGAGCCCAGGAGTTTGCAACCTTTTTTTTTTTTTTTTTTAGACTCTGTCTCTACAAAAAATTAGGCTGGGCACAGTGGCTTTTTTTTTTTTTTTTTTCACTTTGGGAGGCCGAGGTGGGCAGATCACCTGAGGTCAGTTTTTTTTTTTTTTTTTTGCCAACATGGTGAAACCCTGTCTCTACTAAAAATACAAAAATTAGCTGGCCATGGTGGCAGGCGCCTGTAATCCCAACTACTCAGGAGGCTGAGACAGGAGAATCACTTGAACCCAGGAGGTGGAGGTTGCAGTGAGCCGAGATCACGCCACTGCATTTTTTTTTTTTTTTTTTAAAGAGTGAAACTCCATCTCAAAAAAAAAAAAAAAAAAATTTTTTTTTTTTTTTTTTTTGCACCTGAAAAAAAAAAAAAAAAAAATTAGCTGGGCATGGTGGCATGCACCTGTGGTCCCAGCTACTCAGGACGCTAAGGAAGGAGAATCACTGGAGCCCAGGATGTCAAGGCTGCAGTGATCTGTGTTCACACCACTGCATTTTTTTTTTTTTTTTTTTTTGAGACTTTATCTCAAAAAAAAATCTCTTCAGGGAATTGATTTTTTTTTTTTTTTTTTCGCACACACGCAGCAAATAGCAAAATAGAAATCACAGTAGTTTTTTTTTTTTTTTTTTTTGAGTAATTGTGTACCACTTTCATCGCCAAGTTAGGACATTTTTTTTTTTTTTTTTTTTGGGTAACGTGGCTTAATCCAGAAAGTTTGAATGATGGTTCTTGTTCCTGCCCCTGTGTCCATGATCTCATATACTTAACCAGTTGCAGAGCAGGCATTTTTTTTTTTTTTTTTTTTCAGAAGCAGAAGAGGATGGCTGGAACTGCTAAGGCAGGTTTTTTTTTTTTTTTTTTCTTGGAAAGAGATATGAAGAGCAGCAGAGGCCACACTGCATTTTTTTTTTTTTTTTTTGCAGCACCATGTTCCTGACTCCAGTGGAAAAAAAAAAAAGTTTTTTTTTTTTTTTTTTTTACACATTTGTTGAAAGCCATAGAAAGTACCACACCAAGTTTTTTTTTTTTTTTTTTCTGTGGACTTTGGGCAATTATGATGTGTCAAAATAGGTTCTTTTTTTTTTTTTTTTTTACCACTGTGGTAGGAGATGGTGATAATGAGGGAGGGCATGTATGTGTGGGCACACAAAGAGTATATGGGAACCTCTGTACATTCCTTTCAATTTTGCTTTTTTTTTTTTTTTTTTTAAATATCTTCAAAAAAATTTAAATTAAAAAAACACGACAGTTTTTTTTTTTTTTTTTTCCAGCAGATTCACAGTAATTCCTATAGGAATCCATTTAAATTTTTTTTTTTTTTTTTTAATGATGGATATGTTAATTTGTTTCACGGTAAGAACCGTTTTTTTTTTTTTTTTTTTTTATTTTATACCTTAAATATACATGATAAAAATTTATTTTCTTTTTTTTTTTTTTTTTTAAAATGTTATCAGAAATGTAGAATAAAGGTTCTCTCCTATTTTTTTTTTTTTTTTTTTGTAGAAATGTTCACCTCCCAGCCCCTTTTCAACACAGTTTTTTTTTTTTTTTTTTTTTAACTCTTTATTTCACTGCTGGGGCATATGAAGTCTGTTCCTTTTTTTTTTTTTTTTTTCATTTTGGGGACTTTGGTGTTATCAGTAGTGATTATGGTATTTTTTTTTTTTTTTTTTAAACTTATGTGCTAGTCATTATGTTTGTGTTATTATTGTCTTTTTTTTTTTTTTTTTTTACAGCTAAAATAAAAAATAATCATTTTTGAAAAATATTTTTTTTTTTTTTTTTTTTTAGGCCGGGCACAGTGGCTCACGCCTGTAATCCCAGCACTCTGGGAGACCAAGGCAGGCGGATCACGAGGTCAGGAGATCGAGACCATCCTGACCAACATTTTTTTTTTTTTTTTTTACTAAAAGTGCAAAAATTAGCTGACCATGGTGGCATGTGCTTTTTTTTTTTTTTTTTTAGACTGAGGCAGGAGAATCACTTGAACCAGAGAGTCAGAGTTTTTTTTTTTTTTTTTTCACGCTCCTGCACTCCAGCCTGGTGACAGAGTAAGACTCTTTTTTTTTTTTTTTTTTTACTATATATTCAATATAGAAAAATTTAGGTAGTATGAAAGTTTTTTTTTTTTTTTTTTCACCATTTTTCCATATAGTAACAGCCACCATAATATTTTGTTTTTTTTTTTTTTTTTTTTAAAAGTATAGTTTTTAGTTTGTTTTGTTTTGTGAAGTGTTTTTTTTTTTTTTTTTTAGTATTATCCACATTTTTCACTTAACATTATATTGTAAACATTTTCCAAATGAGTTTCTTGAATATTTTAATCGCTGCATATGTTGCATCATGTATATTTTTTTTTTTTTTTTTTTTGTTTGTGATTTTGCCACTATAGATAGTATGTATATTATTATGTATGTTAAGAAGATATTAGCATTTTCTTCTTAAAGCATTTCTTGTATTTTGGAGTTTTTTTTTTTTTTTTTTTAAGTAGGATTACTGGAAAATATAAGACTCTTGTTACATATTTTTTTTTTTTTTTTTTTAGTGAATTATAGCAATTACCATGCTGCTGACAGTACATAATTTTTTTTTTTTTTTTTTACCTCACCATTTTTTATTCTTGACCTCATTATGACTTCTCTTTTTTTTTTTTTTTTTTTGGGTATGGTCACTTGGTATGTGTATTCATTTCCTTCAACTTTTTTTTTTTTTTTTTTCCAATCATAATTCTGTTTCTGAGTTTTCACATTGCCAAGATTTTTTTTTTTTTTTTTTCTGGATGCTGGTTATGGAGTTAACTAGTAGGGGCTAAAGTCTTTTCATATAAAGGAGACAGGGTAGCCCTAATGCTCTTCCTTCAGCTTCAGATCTGATTTTTTTTTTTTTTTTTTTGGAGTTTTATGTAGAGAATGATGGGGACATTTGGGGAATTTTTTTTTTTTTTTTTTTATTGAAAAAACTATGAATTATCTTTATATCCATAATAAAGTTAACATGAAGAAGTAGAATTATTTTATGTTGCTGTAGTAAGCAGAAATAGTATCAAGTTTTTTTTTTTTTTTTTTTTACTTAATATTTATAGCTTTTGGAAATGAAACCAGACTGTTTTTTTTTTTTTTTTTTCACATATTCATACATTGGTAACATTTAAGCCATGTGTCCTGTGGGCTCTGCCATCTCCTAAGTTATGTCAGTGTTAATCCCTACCATGGAATGGGAAGTTTTTTTTTTTTTTTTTTCCTCAGTTGGTATGTTTTTTTAATGTTTAAGGGATTTGAATTTTTTTTTTTTTTTTTTAATTGACTCGCTTTGCTAAACTACAAATACTGGAGAATATTTTTTTTTTTTTTTTTTTATATCCTGGGACATAGTATTTGAATGATAAATTATTGTTTTTTTTTTTTTTTTTTTTTAATGGAAAATTACTTTAAGATTAGGAGAGGAAAGGAATCTTTTTTTTTTTTTTTTTTTCCTTGAAGGACAGAAGGCTTCATGGGGCATTAAAATAAGATTTTTTTTTTTTTTTTTTCCTAAGATTAATGGTACCTTCCAAAGGAAATTAAGTAGTCTTTTTTTTTTTTTTTTTTGCATATTGAGACTAAAGATAGAGTGTACCTACATAAAATAGAGGGGGCAGGGAAGATAGAAATGGACATTTTTGAGACTCCAAAAGGGACTTTATCTATTTTTTTTTTTTTTTTTTTTTAGTAATTGCTCTTTGAAACAAAACAGTTGTTCTAAAATTTTTTTTTTTTTTTTTTATTGGTGGACGGCTCCTCATGGTAGAAACTCGACTTGCAATTTTTTTTTTTTTTTTTTAGGGAGACTTTTCCTTGGAAGGACTTCGTCTTTGGAAAACAGCATTCTCAGCAATGACTCAGAATCCAAGGCCAGGGTCACCCCTTCGCAGTGGCCAATTTTTTTTTTTTTTTTTTTCAAGTAATAGCCCTAAGATGGTTGAAGATAAAAAAATTGTTTTTTTTTTTTTTTTTTGTGCCCCAAGTCGACAACTGGTTCAAGTGTGGCTTCAAGCTTTTTTTTTTTTTTTTTTTTCCAAGAAACTGCCTAAAACCAAGCCAACTGGAGTTGTAAAATCTGCTGAGAACTTTAGCTCTTCAGTTAACCCAGATGACAAACCTGTAGTGCCTCTTTTTTTTTTTTTTTTTTCACGTATACTCCCCACTACAGCACATACCAAGGAGGATGTTTTTTTTTTTTTTTTTTTACAAGCACCAACCACGAGATGTAGTCAAACTGCAAGTGAATTTTTTTTTTTTTTTTTTATTGCCTCTTCAAGTGATCCTGAAAAAGATGAAGATGATGTTTTTTTTTTTTTTTTTTATAGCTCCCCTGATTCTCCTGTAATTCCCCCTTGGCAACAACCAGTATCCCCAGATTCCAAAGCATTAAATGGAGATGATAGACCCTCATCACCAGTATTTTTTTTTTTTTTTTTTGCTGTTGAGAACTTCTTAAAACCAATAAAAGATGGTATACAAAAAAGCCCCTGCAGTGAGCCTCAAGAGCCTCTAGTGATATCTCCAATTAATGCTAGTTTTTTTTTTTTTTTTTTTGAATCACTTTGCCTTCATAGTACACCTATCATACAGAGAAAACTGGAAAGGCTTCCTGAAGCAACTGGCCTTAGCCCATTATCAACAGGTAAGTGTATTTTTTTTTTTTTTTTTTCATAATTATTCTTCAGAAATAGAAATGAAGATAACATTAGTTTTTTTTTTTTTTTTTTGCTTTTTAAATGAAGGTATAGCTCAGCAAATATTTTTTGTTGTATCTTAGAAAGTCATCACATGACAACTCTCTTTCTGCTGTGTAATCTACTTATATTTTTTTTTTTTTTTTTTTCCTTGTGGGTGAAATACAGGAGCCCTCTCAAAAGGCTTATTTTTTTTTTTTTTTTTTTCTGTTGGCTTTTATACATACCCAGGTCTCCCACATTTTAATTTTTTTTTTTTTTTTTTGCCTTGACCTCACGTCTCCAGCCAGCTTCTACTCTTTCTCCTCCCCTTCAAAGCCAAATTTCTTAAAAGATTTATCTAATTTGACAACTCCAGTTATTTTTTTTTTTTTTTTTTTTCAGCCCACTCTAAACTGAATTCTGCCCCTGTCATTCTACATTTTTTTTTTTTTTTTTTTTCCCAGTAAACTTATAGCTAAAACCAGTAGATGTTCCTGTTTTTTTTTTTTTTTTTTCTAAGCAGCCATTTTCTCATTGACCCTACCTTCCTTCTTGGAGCTGCTTCTCCACTTGGCTTTCCTCCTACTTCTCTGTTTTTTCCCACTTGATTTTCTTTTTTTTTTTTTTTTTTATCTAAATGTTGGAGTTTATTAAGGCTTGATCTTAAGCCTTTTTTTTTTTTTTTTTTTAATGATCTAATTCCTGTCCTCAGGATTACTACAGATAACTTTTTTTTTTTTTTTTTTTGTTCAAACCTCTCTTGTAAGCTCCAGAACACTATGTCCAATTTTTTTTTTTTTTTTTTCACTTGAATGCTAAATGGCACCTCAAGATTAGTATTTTAATTTTTTTTTTTTTTTTTTACTGCATACATTCACCCCTACTTCCCCAACATACTTATGTTTTTTTTTTTTTTTTTTTAAACCCATCTGGCCTTCTTTCAGTTTTCTTTATTTCAATGTTTTTTTTTTTTTTTTTTCAGTTACACAAGTAAGAAATATAGAATTTATTTTTAATACTTTTTTTTTTTTTTTTTTACCCACCTTGTAGTTTCTAGTCCCTATCCAGGCCTTATCATTTTTTTTTTTTTTTTTTAAACCAGATCTATTTACTTTATTGTACTTCTTCCACCACAACTTTAGGCCATACTGTCATCATCTCTTGTCTGGGCTCCTGCACCAGCCATTTTATCTTTTTTTTTTTTTTTTTTTTTGCACAGTAATCAGGGAAAAATCCCCACTCTGTTCCTAGTTTTTTTTTTTTTTTTTTAGATTTTACCTCCAGAAAACCTTCCCTAATCTCGACTACATTTTTTTTTTTTTTTTTTTTCCCCTTTGTTGTATTAATGCAGTTATAAATTTATTTTTTTTTTTTTTTTTTTTTTTGATTCTCTCTCTAGACCCCATGAGGGCACAGATTATGTCTTTTTTTTTTTTTTTTTTTTACTTGATAAGTAAGTGAATAAATGAATTAAACAGTTCTATTTTTTTTTTTTTTTTTTATAAAACTCAGTAATTAAAATATAAACGTATTTAAAATACTTTTTTTTTTTTTTTTTTTTTGGTGGGTATCAGAGGTTTGAATTTCATTTTTAAATTATTTTTTTTTTTTTTTTTTTCATAGGACAGCACCCACAAGTGGTACTTAAGTGTTTGGAACAACAAAAAGTTTTTTAAAAACCAGAAGCAGGTAATTTTGATATACATGTTAAATATTTTTTTTTTTTTTTTTTTACCAAAAACACAGAAGTTGAGTAATAAGAAAGGAAGTAATTTTTTTTTTTTTTTTTTTGTACTCTTAACACAAGCAAAGGTAACTATACTAAACATTTTTAAAGATCAGTGGAAGATCCAGTCTTATTCCTAGATTTCAGTTAGATAATTGATAACTTTTTTTTTTTTTTTTTTTTTTTGTTACTTAAATTTTTGCATCATTATTTGCATATCTTTTTTTTTTTTTTTTTTTGCCTTTTTTTAGTTTTTTTTTTTTTTTTTTTTTGCTGTTGTTTTTTTTTTTTTTTTTTTATGTAAATACAAATATTACAGAGAAAGTGAATATGATAGTTTTTTTTTTTTTTTTTTGGATACAAATACATTAACTGATTACTGGCAAAATCAGAACTTTTTTTTTTTTTTTTTTCTCAAGTAAGTGATTTTTGATCCCACCAAAAATATATCCTTTTTCTTGGTTTATTACTTTTTTCTAAAATATAACCTTATTGATTTTTTAAAATTTATTTTTTTTTTTTTTTTTTTAAAGCAACATTATTTACTACTGACACTCTGGAAAGTCGCAGATGTCTTTATTCAAATACTAAAAATATGACAAAACTTAGAATTATATGGTTATATGATTTTTTTTTTTTTTTTTTATGCATCCTTGGAAATATATGCTAGAAATCACTTATATATTTTTTTTTTTTTTTTTTTGTCGTTAACTACATAAAATATATTTTAGTATTTCTTTGAGTTTTTTTTTTTTTTTTTTCTTTCATTTATAAAATAGTATTGAATTACAAGCTACATATTTTTTTTTTTTTTTTTTTAGTGTGTTGTGAACATAACACTTTGGGAGAAACAGTTAATTTTTTTTTTTTTTTTTTTAAAAATTTTGTGAGGAAAGGAAAGATGCCATTTTTTTCTGTTTTTTTTTTTTTTTTTTACATTGTCTTATTTAATTCATCTTTCAGACACATGTTGTATTTTTTTTTTTTTTTTTTCAATATTTCAAATCTTTTTCAAACTTTAGCCAAAGTAGTTTTTTTTTTTTTTTTTTTTTGCTTGTCTTACTTTCAAGAAAGGTCAAGATAAATGTCCATGTGGTATAAATGTCAACTCCCTACAAAACTATTGTTTTCAGTATTGGGGGCTTCTGATTTTTTTTTTTTTTTTTTATTTACTTATATTTCCACATATATCCAGTTCTGATATCTTTTTTTTTTTTTTTTTTTTATTAATAAATACAGTTTCTCCTTGAATTTAGAGATGATATTTTTTTTTTTTTTTTTTTCAAACACATAAAGCATATTATGTGGGAATAAGTAATCAAATTTTTTTTTTTTTTTTTTGTATCTTTTTCTGGCTGTGTGTGTGTGTGTGTGTGTTTTTTTTTTTTTTTTTTTTTTTGCAGTAAATACCCCACAGAAAGAAACTTCTCAGATTGATGGACCATCTTTAAACAATACTTACGGTTTCAAAGTCAGCATACAAAACTTACAGGAAGCTTTTTTTTTTTTTTTTTTAAAACTGCAACAGTAAGGACACATACATTGTGTTCAATTTTTTTTTTTTTTTTTTTTTTAAAAGTATGGAATTTTTTTAACGAGGAAGAAATATATTGTTTTTTTTTTTTTTTTTTTTCATCTTGTTCTCATTTTCTTACTGTTTTGTATATTTACTTTTTTTTTTTTTTTTTTGAAACTTAAAGAATTTAAGTTGCTGAGACTGCTTTGTGATTTCATCTCTTTCACAAATCTCATAACTGAAATTCAGCTTATGGACATTAAAATAAGAATTTTTTTTTTTTTTTTTTAGGTGGGACGATCCCTTGAGTCGAGGAGTTTAAGACTATCTTTTTTTTTTTTTTTTTTCCCTGTCTCTACCAAAAAATAAAAATAAAATTAGATACGCTTTTTTTTTTTTTTTTTTTTGGGAGGCTGAGGTGGGAGGATCACTTGACCCTGGGAGTTTTTTTTTTTTTTTTTTTATGATTGCGCCACTACACTCCAGCCCAGGCTACAGACAGATTTTTTTTTTTTTTTTTTGGGGAGAAACAAAAAAAGACTGTGTTTTGGGGATTATTATTTTTTTTTTTTTTTTTTTATCTGAAATGTGATATTTACTTGTATTTTCTGTTTGATTGTTTTTTTTTTTTTTTTTTTGCTACAAAAGAGGATAAATTCATTCATTCACATACTCTCTTTTTTTTTTTTTTTTTTTCACAGCACAGGCTGTCTGCCAAAGACTAGGACTTTGCAAAAATATACATCAGCCACAGTATGCATTGGAAAGAATATGTGAATGGGTCACTATAAATTTTTTTTTTTTTTTTTTTCAAACTCAAAGTACATATCTGACTGGCAGTAAGGTAGAAATCGGAGTATATTTTCATTGTTTACACCTGTGCTGTCATATGGTAGCTGCTACCAGCATTTTTTTTTTTTTTTTTTTATTTGGCTTATACAACTGAAGAACTGAATTTTAAACTTTATTTTTTTTTTTTTTTTTTTTTAAAACATAGTTGACTCAAAGTATGTTTGGAACAACTTTTTTTTTTTTTTTTTTTTTTTACTCTAAGTTTTGTGAAATTAAGTATAGATCAAGTATTTCTGTAGAAAATTTAGCATGCACAGTGAGATGCTAGAAGGATAAAATACATACTGATTTTTTTTTTTTTTTTTTTAGAATAAATTATTTTATTAGTAATTTTTATGTTGATTATATTTTTTTTTTTTTTTTTTTTAAATATATTGGATCAAAGTGTTTTTAAATTAATTTAACCTATTTTTATTTTTTGAAATATGACTACTAGAAAACTTTAAGTTACATGTGACTTTCATTTTTTTTTTTTTTTTTTGTGCTAGTTTCATACAGTCATTTTATGTCTTTGCTCTTAATTTTTTTTTTTTTTTTTTACCTTTAAGTTATAATTCAATTTTTAAGTGTAGTTTTTTTTTTTTTTTTTTTTTTTTTGTAAACTGTTCTAGGGGTTAGATTAACATAAACACGGAAATTTTTTTTTTTTTTTTTTTTTTT